GTCTCTATCTTGGCTGAATGATTAGGCGATGGAACGAGCTCCTTGATCCTGCGCAACCAACTCTAAATTATACAGATGGTGTCTAAATCTGCGATGCCCAGGAGTGTCCTTGGATTGAGGAATGCTAACTTCTGCCAGCCCTGCTATCTCCCAGTGAAGCCAAGATACATTTTCACAACCTGGGGACCAGTTTCTCGACCCTTTTTTTAATCTCAGTCAATTCCTTATCAGAGCATACATGAGAGTTTTAACTTTGTATTGTTTCCCTCCAGCCTCACGTACTCACCACCCTGGAGGTTCTTGGTAGGGCAGGTTCTTGGTGGGGCAGGGTGAGATGGAAAGGCTTGTCCAGCTGCCACTCCCTAAAGTGGGACTGAAGAGTGGTGGCAGGGGTCATCACAGAGTTAATTACAGGCCTGGTAGCGTTAGGACTCAACGTTTCTATGGAATGTTGACCTTCAACTTTTTATAAGGCTGGGTAACTCAGTGATTCAGGTTTGGACTGACTTGGAGACTCACCTATCCTTTGCATCCCCTTGCTGCCACACATCTTAACCCCAAGAAGGCAGACATTTTCCTTTTCTTCCACAAGCCTCAGTTCATCCTAGAAAGCATAAGTACGTCATGTGTCAGGTTTTTTAGCTGTCTTCTCAAATAAGTTTGCTTCCCAGTCATCTATCCTAGTTACAACGTTACCTTTTTTTTTTTCAGGATACAGATGGAGGTAGGGAGAGTGCTGGTTGATATCACTTTAATCCCCCCAAAATGCTACCTTCCAAATATATTCCATAAACAGTAGGTGTGCATTCCCCTTCTCCTTGAAGTGTAGGCAAACAAAACAGGTCATGTCCTTGAACTCATTGTCTTATTCCCCACCTCCTTTTATAGGTTCTGCTCCAGACTCTTTGCACCAAAGCCCCGGCTGAGGACGATTCTTTGCCCCCAGTATCCGTGTCCCCTTATAAGGATGAACCGTGGAAATATCTGGACTCAGAAGGTAGTTAGAAATGGGGAAGGGGAGGGTCAGGTGAGATCTGAAACAAGTGGACGGAGACACCGCCACCAGCCCCACCCAGGATTAATTTGGGTGGTCTTTCATTTCAGAATACCAGAACCGCTATGGTTCTCGCCCCGTCTGGGCTGACTACCGTCGCAACCACAAAGGTGGAGTACCCCCACAGCGGACTCGAAAGATGTGTATTGTGAGTCTCTGAGAGTGGCATACAGATGGGATGTGGAGTGGGCCTGGAGGTCATAATGAAAGTGGCAGCAGCACGTTTTCTGACAGGGCTTTGAACATCTTCACTTGGCAGTTTCTTCTCTCCACAGCGTGGAAATAAAGTTGCTGGGAATCCCTGCCCCATCTGCCGGGATCAGAAGTTGCATGTTGACTTTAGGGTAAGGAAAATCTTTTCTCCAGGATAAAGACTTGGAACCTTTTTTCAGTGCTAAGGAGATTACCTTAGGTGCCCCACTGTTCATATCCTGGTGCCCCGAAAGTCCATTTTGTATCCTCTTTCTAGCAGTATAAAAACATTCCGCCTTCCAGCCTTTTGTCCTCTACTGTGGATTGTACTAAAAAGCGTCATCCTTTGCCTGTGAAATTTACAGTCTAAATTGGCAAGCAAGAGAAATGCCCGTTTCTAATGGGAGAGCAATGCCCCAAAATTCATTTATATCCATACCAGTTATTAGCAAGTAGATTAGACTAGTTTTTTTCCTGAGGTTTTCTTTATTTTGTTGTGTTGATGTTTGGTGGCATGTGGAGACTTGTGGCTGGAGAGCAGATAATGAAGCAAGGTATAGACCAGTTATTTTTTCAAAAAACCTTCATGGTGAGGACTGCCTTTAGAACCTAACCCTTGCAGAATGGACTTCTATGTGAGTCTCAGTAACAGAATGTAGGAGGTGCATGTGAAATGGTTGAAAGGTCAGGAAAGGGGAAAAGTTTGCAACAATGTGTTCAGTAAAGGGAAGGGGCTAAAACTGGGACATGAGGGGAGCACTGGGAGAAACACAGAGGGGTCAGGGTCCTCGTATGGATGTGCAGGGATTGTGTACTGTCACTCTCTAAATATCTTACTGCCTTTTCTTTTCTGTCTCATGTTTCTACAGAATGTCAGGCTCTTGGAACAGTTCGTCTGCGCCCACACGGGTATCATCTTCCATGCTCCATATACAGGTTAGCCCCTCGTCACCAGAGTAGCTTTTCCTTGCAGCGCTTCTTATATTTACTTTGTAAGTCAGACAATGGGTATTTGGTTGCTCTTGCTAGTGGCATAGAAACGTGATGGTACCTTTTAGAAATCTTGGTCTAATGGGGATACTCATGCTAAAACAGTTACATGTGGACAAAAGATACAGGCAGTACCAACATAAGCAAACTAAGTGTAGCTTTTAAAGACAAACGGTGGTGATTGTTTTCTTTCTATAGGGTCTCTTCACTTTTACAGACGACTTTATCGTAAATTGATTGTCACATAAGTTCTTTTATACGATTGACAATTAAATCAGATTCCCCAAATCTGGGGTTGTAAGCTTACTAATTCAAGATTACATCTATTCTCTCATGGCCACAGGCCATGTTTGGCTCACTGACATGTCCGTTTATTTTCATTTTGTCTACAACTGCTTCCAGGCCACAATGGCCAGGTCGAGGAGCTGAGACAGACTGTAACATATACCTAAAATATATGCCACAGTGCCAACAGTATATGGTCCTATACAGAAACATTTTTTCAACCCTAGCTCTAAAGCAAGATAAATTTGCAAAGAAAAATCAGAATCCACCTTTTTGGGGGTAGTAGCTTGATAAGTGGAGTTTGGTTTATCAAGGAATTTTATAGCCAAGCTGTAAAAGGCTGAAGGGACTGCTTTGCTACTTTCTCAGATCGACTTTCCCAGATCTGAAATCCTTTCTTCCTTTATTGAATCTTTCTCTGTGGCTTGTCCAACTCAACCTTTTAACTAACCACACTTGCCCTTTGAATCCCTGTCTTAAAGCCTTTACCATTAACTGGCTTCTCTACAGTGGCTAAACCCTCCTAAGTCTTCATCCTGGTTCTCAGAGAGAGAAGGGTCTTCCCACTGGGCAGATGGGGAAACTGAGGACCATATGGAAGGGCCAGGGGAATGGGGGTCACTGGGTAGAGCCAGGTCTTCCAAGTCCAATCCTCTATCACCCTATAGAAGCACTTGTGATCCTTATTTACTGGGACTTATAAAATGAGCCCCAAATTATTTTTTTTCTCTGCACAGGGGTCTGTATGAGGCAACACAAGAATTTGACCAAGGCCATCCAGAAAGCCAGAGATTGTGGTGAGCATGAAAAGGGGCCCAGGGCAGTTTGTTAGGCATGAGGAAAGTGATTTAGGGCTGGAGGGTGGATATAAATGCTCCCACTTATCTGAGAAGGTAGCACCCGATACGTTCTTCTCAAGAATTTCTTCTTTTGTTACTCCGTCCCTTGTTCCCTCTCCTGAATCTCTTACTTCATCATTGTCCTGTCCCCTTGTTCCTCCAGTGCCACGACCAGATTATAGGAGGAACTTTGTATAAATTTCTGACCCTGGACTCCATGACACCTTTGCACAAATTAGGAAAAGGTACCCCTCCGTTAGGGCAGATGCAGTGTCATAGCCCTGATGGAGGTCCAGACCACCTGGCAGGCAAGAACCCAGGCAGCGTGTCAGCCCACACTTGCCCCTTGGCTAGTTGCCTTTGTGCATCAGAACACATGCATCAGTGTGCCAGTGGCTCTGACTGGTTTCTCCCTCCTTGGCTTTCTCTCTTTTGAAAAAATCCCCCAGGTCTCCTCAGGTACCACATTCCCCAGGTTGAACCTCGGGACCTTGACTTCAGTACCTCTCATGGAGCTGTGAGTGCTACTCCGCCAGCCCCAACTCTGGTTTCAGGTGACCCCTGGTACCCATGGTACAGCTGGAAACAGCCATCAGAGAGAGAGCTGTCCCGCCTTCGCCGGCTCTACCAGGGCCACCTCCGAGAAGCAAGTGGCCCTCCACCTGAGTCAATGCCCAAAGTGCCCCTTACAGCCCCAGCTGAAGCATCCTCCACTGAGCAGGCTGGCCCCCAGAGTGCTTTGTAGGCGCTGTAGACTGAGATGGGAGCTGGGAGGGGGGGGGAGGTCCCTAATACAATATTTCACCCTGAAGAGTTGTGTCTACTCTGTGGCCAACAGCAGGCCCAGAGCCAGAGAAAGAAAATGATTGTTGGTGAAAGAGATAAAATACATCTGAGGCTGAGGGAGGGCAGTACAGAAGTATATGGGGAACCCCAGGCCCTCTATATTGTAAATAGATGGGCTAACCATTCCGTTACTGTTTCATACCTGTGCCAGCTGAGTTTTTCCACAATAAAGCTGTACCTTGTCTCTGGACTGAATTTCAGATGAATGCTTTGGGAGCGGGGCAGTGGATGCTTCCGTGGGAAAAGGAATGGTCAGGCTTGAGCCAGGTCTGCCAGTGGATGCTTGGGACCAGATGCCACCTGGATGAACAGTTGTGCCATTCTATCATGATCACTGTGGCCCCTTGTACCTGGTGCACCGTGTCCCCATCATCCCCAGCTGTTCACTGAGGGGCTAAAGGGTTGGAGAATAAGACACTAGGCCAAAGAAAAATGCGTTGCCATGGCTCCCACTGTCGTGGGAGGCAGGAATGGGGTGAGTGGCATTGCTGTGTGACAGCTGGTTTGGCAAGAAGAACGGGGGTCTCCGGGGTCAGCTGCCAGGACCTGGCGGGGGGGCGGGGCGACCCCTTAGGGATCCGCGGGCGCGGCAGGGGAAATATTGCGAAGGGCGGGGCGGAGTGGCGAGGGAGGAGCGGAAGTGACGTCGCGCGGGGCGGGTACGGCCGCGCACAATGGGCCATGGAGTTCCCGTTCGATGTGGACGCGCTGCTCCCGGAGCGGATCACGGTGCTGGACCAACACCTACGGCCCCCGGCCCGCCGACCCGGAACCACAACGCCGGCCCGGTGACATCTCAAGCCCGCCCCACGGCCCTTCTTTCCCGGTTCCTCTCGAAACCTGGTCCAGGCACCACGCCCCCTTCTCATTGACTAGTGACCGCTCCTTTTACGGTCCTGGCTCCCCTTTTTGGTGACCTTTGATCCTAGTTCTAGTGGGGATGATGGGTTTGATTCTGTGACCTTTCACTCCTTGGCCCAGTATGTGGTCCCAACCAAAGGATGTGGTTGACCTCCCCTTCCTGCTTCTCCACGATAACCTCATGGGAGGAGGGAGTGTACCACACTGAAAGGAGGTGTGTCAAAAGTTGGGGTGCCAAAAGAGTAGGGTGGGAAATCCAACTGGAAGACTCCAAGGTAAAGGCAGAGAGCCTGAAGTACTGAACTGGGATTGGGGTTATGGCCCAGGTTCCCAAGGAATGACTGCCCAGCACACTTTCGTACAGTGAGTATCTGACTCTTTGTCTCCTCTCTTTCTGTAGTGTTGACCTGCAGCAGCAAATTATGACTATTGTAGATGAACTGGGCAAGGCTTCTGCTAAGGTACTGGAGAGTTTACACGGGGTAAAGGGGAGGCCTGTCTGGGGACAGTTGGTAAGGGAGGCCTGGTTCCTCTGGGAGGGACTTGTAGAAAGTCTGTGTTTAAATTCCCGGCAGGCCCAGCATCTTCCTGCTCCCATCACCAGTGCATCAAGGATGCAGAGTAACCGCCACGTTATGTATGTACTGAAAGATACTTCAGCTCGACCGTGAGTGCCAAATGCTCTTCCGCCTTGTACTTAATTCCTCCCTCCTCCAGCCCCTCTCTCTTTTCTGACTCTACCTCTTCCAGATAACTGCTCATTACTGTTCATTATTTTCTTTTCCTACAGGGCAGGAAAAGGAGCCATTGTTGGCTTCCTTAAAGTTGGATACAAGAAACTCTTTGTACTGGTGAGTGTTACTGAAAACTGAGAGTTAATCTGCCTTGGTTCCTGAGAACAAAAGTACTGAAGGTTGGAAGGTGACAGCAATGTCTGGATCCTAAAAGATATTTGTTGTTCCTTTACCTTTTAGGATGATCGTGAGGCTCACAATGAGGTAGAACCACTGTGCATCTTGGACTTTTACATCCACGAGTCACTTCAGCGCCACGGCCATGGGCGAGAACTCTTCCAGTATATGCTACAGGTATCGCTCATCTCTTCACCAGTTCATGCAAAATGGAGAGCAAAGGCCCCTTGTCCTGAGTCCTCCTGGAGGCCCTGCCTTCCACCCTCCCGCCCCCTCAGGCGACTGGGTTCCTGTTGGCATGCTTTGCCCACACCTCCTCCTCCCCTGAGTCTCCTGTTCCCTGCAGAAGGAGCGAGTTGAACCACACCAACTGGCCATTGACCGACCTTCACAGAAGCTGTTGAAGTTCTTGAATAAGCACTACAATCTGGAGACCACAGTCCCACAGGTTAGAGGTTTCAGAGAATAGGTCCCCACTGAGCATTCCCATTTACTATGTTTCTTATTTGAGGGCAAACAAGTGGCATCTTCCGAGCACTCCTTATTCTCCACCATATAGGATTCTTTATACGTGTGTATGTGTTTGTGGTACCATCTTTTATCCTGCAGCTGTTTCACTCTCATCTTTTTTGATTCTTCATCATGGGCTGTTTTGTACATATAAAATTATGTTTGTGCCCCAAACACAGCCAGCTCATTTTCATCTTGTTTTCACCCAGGCCATTACTTAGTCAACCAACATTTATTAAGGGCTCAGAATAATACACATTCCCTGTCCTCAGGGAGATTCGGCCAGTTTAGGGGAAAGGTGGTTTGTTTATAAGCAGATGCAGTAGAATGTTGCTAATGCTATACATCCATTCAACATATATTTGTTGAGCACCTGGCACTGATCTGGGCTCTAGGAATACTTTACTCAATAGAACAAGTAAGCGTCTCTGTCCTTATGGATGGAGCTTCTATTCTAGTTGGGGAGACAAACAAACATAATAAGCCAGTATATACTATGGTTGATGATAAGTGCTCTAGGAGAATGAGAGCAAGTTAGAGGGCTTGGGAGGGCCACGGTGAGGGTAGGAGTGTGGGGGATTGCAGATTTAAATGGGATTAGTGGGAAAGGCCTCACTGAGAAAGTGTCACTTGGGCAATAACTTAAAGAGGTGAGAATAAAAGCCAAGTAATATCTGGAGAGGGAGCATCCCAGGTAGAGAGAATGGCTAGTACAAAGGCCATAAGGTGGGAGTGTTCCTGGAAAATTGGCTGGTGTGGCCAGAGCAGCGTGAGTGAGTGGGTGCGATCAGAGCAGGAGCAGGGGAGGAAAGAAACTTAGGGCCCTATAGGCTACTGCAGAGACTTTGGCTTTTACTCTTAAGTGAAAAAAGGAAAGCCATCATAGGTGTTTGAGCAGAGGGGTAATATGATGTAATTGACTTTTAACCAGATCACTTTGCCTGTTAAGAATAGACAGTAGGGGAGGTAAGGGTACAAGCAAGCAGACCCAGTTAGGAAGCAGCCATCCTGATGAAAAATGGTGGTGGCTCAGACCAAAATGGTAGCAGTAAAGGTGGTAAGGAGTGGTCAAATTGTAAGTATTTTGAAGTTAAAGCAAATAAGATTTCTTGATAGACTGTGGAGAAAGAGAGAGAGAGAGAGTTAAGAATGATCCTAAAGTTGTTGGCCTGAGCACTTGGAAGGATGGAGTTGCATTAACTGAGATGGTAGGTGGAGCAGCTTTTAGGGGCAGTAGTAGGAGTCCATCTTGAATATGTTAATCAGAGATGCCTGTGATGAGTCCAGGTTGAGTAGACAGCAGGGTACTTCCCTGGAGTTCAGAGAAGAGGTTTGGGGCAGAGAGTTTTCAGCACACATAGGTAGGGTATTGAAAAGGGTGAGACAGGATGAGATTGCCACAGAATGAGTATCAATAGAGAAGTGATCCAAGGACGTGAGCCCTTGGGCACTCTTTTAAGAAATCGGGGGAGTTCGAAGTTTGTTGATACTGACAGGCATATGTAGAATAGATAAACAATATTATACTGCATAGCACAGGGAAATATATACAAGATCTTGTGGTAGCTCACAGGGGAAAAGAATGCGACAATGAATATATGGATGTTCATGTATAACTGAAAAATTGTGCTCTACACTGGAAATTGACACAACATTGTAAACTGACTATAACTCAATAAAAAAAAATGTTAAAAAAAAATTAGGGAAGAAAAGAACCAGCAAATGCCACCAAGGAGTGGCTTGTGAAGTAGATACAAACTTACAAGTGACCTGCAAGGCCAGTGAAGAAAATGTTTCCAGGAGAAAGGAATGGCTTACCAAGTCACATACGGCTGGTCAGTGAGGTAAGAAGAGGTCTGAGAAGGGACTGTTGAACTTATTTGCCCGAGGCCACTGGTCATCCTGACGAGTGGTTTCAGTGCAGTGGTGGGTGGAAGCCTGGATGAAGTGGGTTTAGGAGATTGAGAAGCTTGAGACTGGAGACAGCAAGAATAGGCCACTCTTTTAAATGCTGGTTTAAGGCAAACAGAAATAAAGCAAGAGCTAGAGGGGAATGTAGATCAAGAGAGGGTTGATTCTTTTCAGTTGCATAAGAATGAACAGCATAAGAATGACTCAGTAGAGAGAAAAGCTGACAATATCAGAGAAGGTGGGGGAGAATTGCTGAAGCAGTGTCATTGAGTGGGCTTGGGATTGGGTTGACAAGTGAGCCTTGGATAGGAGCACAGACAGTTAATCCATTATAATGTGATTTGATTGATGTGCTTACAGACGAGGCATAAGGAGATGGTGGTGCGTGTTCCATTGGCTAAAGAAAGGCTTGATTTAAGCTTAATCTTGAAAGGTGAGTGTTGTCAGGCAGATAGAAATGGGCAGGCTAAAGTGCTTTCCATGTAGGAACCAGCATGAGCCAAGTCAGGGGGGTATTAATCTACCTTTCAGGGCAATGCAAGCAGTTTTGTGTGGCTGGAGTGCTGGGCATATGCTTGTTGGGGAGGATGAAGGTAGATTGATAGACGTCCCAGCAGATTCAACACAGGAGATAGACGGGGTCTCCTTGGAATGTCCTCCCAGAATAGGACATAATTTTTCCATTAAGAGGCAGCAGAGAGCAACAGAAGGAACACAGTAACTGGCATCAAATGCATTGCCCAGGTAACATGTAAAAGCAGGGCAGTTTAGAGTGTAAATAATAATGACTGATGTTTCATGAGCTCTGTGTGGTATCTGCATACATCATCTCTGTTAATTCCTTGTACATTTCTTTGCGGTAGTTGCTATTATTGACCCCATTTTTAGATTTCTGTAGATTGGTGACTTGACTAAGTGCACACAGCTAATAAGTGTTAGAACTTAAATTTGAACCCATAGCCCACTTGAATGACTACACTGTATTTCTGGTTGAAATGCCACAGCTAGAATCATGAGTCTGGGGCTTCAGGCCCATTTCTGCCACTTGCAGCCACTTGGCTTTGGGCAGGCCATGTCTCCACGCGTATATATTTCCAGTTCTCTTGGGTATATACCTAAGAATAGAATTGCTGGGTGCTGTGGTAATTCTGTGTTTAACTTTTTGGGGAACTGAGAAACTTTTTCCACAATGCACATTTTACATCTCCATCAGCAATGTATGAGGGCTTCAGAACCTCGACATCCTCACCAAGATTTGTTTGTTTGTTTTTTTCTTTGTATAACAGCATTAATAATGGTTGTGAAGTTGTTCTTTTTGTGGTTTTGGTTTGCATTTCCCTAATGACTAATGATGTTGAGCATCTTTTCAAGTGCTTAATTGGCCATTTGTATATCTTCTTTGGAGAGACATTTGTTCAAGTCCTGTGCCCATTTTTAAATTGTGGTTTTTGTCTGTTCTTGAGTTGGAAGAGTTCTTAATATAGTCTAGATACAATACACTTACCAGATGGGTGATTTGTAAATATTTTCTCCTGTTTTGTGAGTTTTCTTTTCATTATCTTGTTAGTGCCTTTTGAAGCACAAAAGTTTTTACTTTGGATGAAGTCCAATTTATTTATTTTATATTACTTGTGCTTTTGGTGTCATATTTCAGAAACCATGCCCAAGATCATCAAGACTTTCCCTAGTGTTGCTTTCTAAGAGTTTCATAGTGTTAACTCTTACATTTAGGTCTTTGATCTATTTTTAGTTATTTTTTGGTGTGTGGTGGAGGTAGAAGTCCAAATTCAATGTCTTGCATGTAGATATCCAGTTGTCTAAGCACCAGCTGTTGAAGAGACTATACTTTCCCTATTGAATGGTTTTGGCACCCTTCTTGCAGATCAGTTGACCATAGACACATTGGACTGTATTTATTTATTTTTGGACTCTATTTATTCCATTGGTCTATATGTCTATCCTATGTCTCTACCATACTGTTTTGATTACTGTAGCTTTGTAGTAAGTTTTTAAATCAGAAAATATGAATCCTCCGATTATGGTATTCTTTCTCAAGATTATTTTGGCTATTCAAGGTCCTTCGCAATTCAACTTCAGGATCAGCCTGTCAGGGTCTGAGTTTTTGCCTGTCTGTCCACAGGGACAGGAAGACTGGTTTTTGTTCCTCCCACTGTGGCTTTTCCAGCACAGGGCTCTGTACCCAGGTGTGTGCAAAGTGGCTAAATGGACAACTGTATTTTGCTTGTTTCGTCTTACAGGTGAACAACTTTGTGATCTTCGAAGGCTTCTTTGCGCATCAGCATCGTAAGTTCTCTCGCCTTGTGCGTATTGGTCAAACACTTGGGGTGAGGGAAAAGAAAAAAGTGGATTCTTGCTCCCACCGGTCCCTCACTGAGGGGCACCGCCGCTTCCTTCCTCACAGGGCCCCCTGCTACCTCTCTGAGGGCATCTCGACACTCTCGTGCTGCTGCGGTCGATCTTATGCCCGCTGGTAAAGCTGCATTGAACGGGTGGATCTGTAGTGCGGTGATGTCCATGGGGAGCACAGTGCGATCTGTGGACAATTTGGGAAAATTCTAAAGCAACCCAAGTCTCCAGCAATCAGTACCCGTTTCCTTTGCCTTCATGGGAGCTCAGTGCATCTTATACTTGGCAAGACTTTTAACTAAGCAAGTTCATTGGGGGCCTGCTTGACAGTTGATAACCCATGTCATGTTCCTTTGTAAGCCCCTCAGGCTTCTGTCAGCCAGACAGGCAGGAACGTGCAGTCAGCCCCTCCGTTTCCAGTCATAGAAGAGTGACATGAAGGGTCCAAAGTTTAAATAATTACGTTTAGAAGGTAACACTCAGAATTTATAACATTTCCAACCAAATAATGAAATTGATCTAGAGAAACCAAACCTAGGAGGTACTGAAATGCTGCTAGGTTCCCCCCTCCATCCTCCCACACACACCCTCCCTGCCTGGCTGTGCCCCACTCCTTCCTCCTCCTCAAGATGGAGGGACACAGCCTTCTGCTGGCTGTGCCCTGCCTGTTTACGCAGAAGGGCCCCTTTCCTACAGACTAGCTCTCACCTCCTCTGTAGTCAGGGAAGGGAATAACCACCACTGCTGTTACCACTGGTTTTCGTCTACCAGTGTCGGGCATGGAGAGGCAGTTCATATCCATGACCTGCTTTGATTTCCAAGGCTCCCCCATCTAGCTCCTGCTGACCAAAGGCTGTGAGCGGGAGAGAGAGCCAACCAGGACGGTGAGGACTCAGGTCCACAGGGGTGGGACCCTAAAACTTAAGTGGATCCACTGGGAAGTCTCTCATTTGCCACACATGATGAAGAAAGACTCTCTTGAGAGGGAAAGAGAGGGGCAAGCAGAGAAATGAGGTGACAGGCTGAGCTTAGACAATCCATTAGCCTCCCATTTACACTGGTCACTCCTTTCCAGATGTCTGTGTTTCTTCCTCATCCTTTTATTTTTTCCTAATAAAACTTAAATCTCTTCCCATCTTTGTACCTAAAGGAGAGGTTCTGCCCCACCCCAACCTCCCCTGACCTCTTCAGAGCAACTTCTGATTAATCAAGGGCTTTGTCCATCTCATCTAGAGGGACCTGGGGTCCTCGTTGGCCCAGCTGGGACCATTCCACTGCCCCAGAATCCCAGGGGGGCCTGACAGCACCCACTGACAGTAAGAGCTCACCTCCCCTGGCTGTCCTTCCCCTGCATCTCCCAGGCCCCAGAGTCTCCCCCGATCTCTCCGTCCTAACTGCATTTGGCCTCCTCCTTCTGGTTCTCCTCAAAAGTACTCCAGCATTCCCCCCAAATCCCCTTTCGGTGTGATGGCACTGCCCTAGAGCTGCTGTCTGCGGTGGAGCTGAACTCTCCTTTCCCAGGAGGAACTGTGGTGTTGGGGAACAGGTTCGGGGTCGTGGGGGCAGTAGCTGGGAGGAGGGGTGCAAAGGATGTCTCCTGATGCTTGTCTTGCCTGTGTCCTCTCCACTGCCAGCTCCAGCGAGGAAGCTGCCACCCAAGAGAGCAGAGGGAGACATAAAGCCATACTCTTCTAGTGACCGAGAGTGTAAGACCGGGATAGGGTGTCTGGGCCTGGGGGGGGCCTTCGCCCAGGGGAAGGATTCATTCTCTCGAAAGGCTCTGATTTCTCTTTTTTCCTCCCCTAATCTTTTGCCTTCATGACCCTCTTCCCTTTCCCTTTTCTTCTCCCTCTCTCCCTCTCTCTCTCGCTTCTTTTTTCTCCATCTCCCAGTTCTGAAGGTAGCAGTGGAACCTCCTTGGCCCCTAAACCGGGCCCCTCGCCGTGCAACGCCTCCAGCCCACCCACCCCCTCGCTCCAGCAGCCTGGGAAACTCACCAGAACGGGGTCCCCTCCGCCCCTTTGTGCCAGAGCAGGAGCTGCTGCGTTCCCTGCGTCTCTGCCCCCCACACCCCACCGCCCGCCTGCTGCTCGCCACAGACCCCGGGGGCAGCCCGGCCCAACGTCGCCGCACCAGGTAATAGGAGCCACAGGGTTAGGGAACCTCACGATTGTTAGGGTTAGGGTTAGGGTTAGGGCAATTTCAATCCATCAGAGACCTGAAGCAATAGGACAGGAGGATTGGAGAGTCCTGAAACCTTTCGAGAAGAATATATTAGAAAGTATGTGGGCGTGGCCTGGAACTTACAGTGAAGGTGCAGAATAGGACTGTCTGGGGTCTGGGAACCCTGGTTTAAGTGCGAGTTGGGAGGAAGGGTCAGAAGAAGCCAGATCCATTGGGCAGGGGGAACTGAGCCTCTAAGATTGGGGAAATCGTGGTTTGGCGCTTGCTGGGAGGGGGCAATATCTCTGGCACAGTTTCGGGAGCCACAGCCCCAGGTCAGCGTCTTGTGTGGCAGGAGCTCATCCTGGCAGGCAGAGAGTGGGCCTCTCCTTAATTCTCTCCCCGGCTTTCTCTTCACCTCTGACCTCTTTCTGTTTTTCTCTCTCCCCCATTTTCCCTCTCCCCTTCTCCTGTCCATAACATCCTTCCACAGCTCCCTTCCCCGCTCTGATGAGAGTCGATACTGACAGACAACTAACCCCTCCCCTCCCTGGGGTACCTGGTGAGGGCAGAGACCCCTCTCCCTGAGAACCCCGAATGTGCTCTCCCATGCCTCCCCAGCATCTAGAGGAACCTGACAGCCCTTAGGATTCCCTCTTCCCCTTCCTTAGACAACTGGGTTGTTAGGGTCCCAGATGGCCTAATACTTTGTAGATTTTCTTACCATAGAAAGCACTCTTTCTCTCCTAACTTGGGCTCTGAACACCCTCCCACGGACAGCCTGATTCGCTGCCAGACCTCTTGGTTGGGCGGCTCATACTAATTATCCAGAGAAGCACACTCTTGCTCTTGCTTGCTGTCAGATTCTAGAACACCATGGAAGGTCCAAGGGCCGCCTCTGCCAAGGAAACCTTTTAAAGAGTCTTGTCCATGGAATAAATCCCACAGTCCCTCTACACTGTCTGCTGGTAGCTCTAATACTGCTCTCTCCTGCCGACCACACCTACCCTGTCGGCCTGCTGAGCAACCAGTGAATGAGCTCTGCTTCAGAGCAGTGCAGTCGAGCAGGACAGGGACTTCCCAGCTCCCCAGAAGGATCCACTCAGCATTGCCAAACTCTTCATTTCCACGTTTCATGTATGTCTATGTCAGGGAACCCCCGAGCTGATGTCTGTTTTGGGGCTCTAAAGACTCACCACACTTCTACAGACACCACCATTTCCCCACATCCAGGTTCTGTGAGGGAGTTTGTTTCTTGGCAGTAGATCCAGCAAGCACCCTAGTTCACTGTTAGTCAAGTTTCAGAAGCTAAGCCTGAGTTTCAAGGATCTATGAGCTCCTGGAATAACCTCTCACATCCCTCCCTCCCCAGTAGCTAGATGCTGATAGATTCCTGTCTTGTGAGATTGTCTTGAGATGATGGGGGAACTCTTCCTCTGGCCTTCCTTTTTTCTTTCCTCAATAGCAAGAACCTTTGTCCCTGCTCTGTACCCAGGGAATGGAACATCCTCCCCACTCCCTGCCCTCTGAATGTGTGCTAGATCAGGTGCCCCTACTGTGTTCCCCAAAATCCTTGGGAGCAGGATCTCCCTCTCTTCCGACTCACTCCTTTTTCTTCTCCCTCTCAGTGTTGTCTGAATAAAGTGTGAATTCGTTTGTGTTTTTAAATGGACATTTTCAATGAAAAAAACTACAAAAAAAAAAACCTTAAGGTCTCAGCCTCATTTGTGCGTCACCCCTTATCTTCCTAGGATCTGAAGACCTCTGTCCCTCTCTCTTCCTCACCTCTGAGATCTGCAGATCTTCCAGCAAGGAGTCTTAGAGCTCCCCTTGCAGGATCTGGTGTCTGCCCGTCCCCATCTTCATTGCTGGATCTTCTGCAGATTCTGTCTCCACTCATGTAGTCACTGGATCCATCCGTGTAGGCTTCTATACCTACTCCTCTATCTCTCCAGAAACCTCCAACTCTCCCTAGTAACTTCTACCCTTCACCCAAGGCCAACTCTTGTTGAGATGTCAAGATTCCCCAACATCTCTGGGATCCACTAATTGCATCCTGATAACAATCCCCTAATTGTTCCCCAGATTCCTCTTCCTGCTCTGATTTCCTCAAGTCTCCCCCACTAAACCCTTGGATCTCTCTCTCAAGACAATCCTTTTCCTCCTAAATTCAGCCTTGCCATTCCTGATTTCCCTCTGGCTGGGGTATCCTATAGTTAAGGTAACCATGTTTTCCAAACCAAACATCAGAGCACCTGGTCCAACAAAAAAAAATTTTGTTTCCCTGTATGTGAATCTGTTTATATGACATGATTTGGATCACAGTTTGCCTTACTTTTAACATATTACCTCAACTAGAAAGAGTAAAGCAGCAAATCAGGACTGCTGCAGAAAATCTTGGGGTATAAAGTGAGCTCCCTTTCCTTTTCTGGGACACAACTTAGATTAAAACCCCATAGGAATGACAACTACCACCCCCACCCCCACCCCCTGCCTTGTTCCTGTGCTATTCCTTTTATTCCACTCCTCTGAGTCCTCCATACCCACTCTTCTTTCCTCCTGAAGCCTCTTCCCCATCATCTCACATTTCTTCTACAGGGGCACTCCCCCAGGGCTGGTAGCCCAAAGCTGCTACTACAGCCGCCATGGGCGGTTGAATTCCTCATCCCCCAATACAGGTAAGTTATTCATCCTTCCTTCCCCTCAAATCAAGTAGGCCATATTCACTACCTACTCCAGCCTCCCCGTACACATGCCTGGTATTTCCACAGGCAACCAAGAACAGAAGCAGGGGGAACAGGAAACAGAGAATAGGTGAGGTCTAAGCCCCTCCCCTACCAGCCTCCCACCACCTCTGACTCCTTTCCTAACATCACTCTCAGCTACTTCCTTCTCATAAATCTCACTCTCAACTAGACACCAGCTCCTCCCACAAAGCCTCTTTCCCATTGGTTCAACACTGGTGCTTCCCTTTGGCATTCTCTGAAGGGTTTCAAGTTTGGACATAGCACTAATGGTTCCAGCCTCATACCCCATCATATGTCCTCCTCTACAAAGGAGCCAGACAGACCTTGAAGAAGCTGTGATCTTTGTTCTCTCTTTGGTACCCCTATAACCCATTCTTAATCTCCCTCCCACCTACTAGGTCTACCAGTGAGGAGCAGGTCTTGTCACAGGATGGGTCTGGGGAGGAAGCCATGCACACAGTTCCTCCACAGGCCTCGGCCCCACCAGCCCAGTCCTGGACAGTGGGTGGGGACATGTTCAACGCCAGGTTCATTCGAAACTTGCAGGAACGTCGCAGCACCAGGCCTTGGTGACCGCAGCACCCCTCACACCTTCAAAGTCAGTATTATTTCTCTCACTGCAGGACATGACCAAGGCTGCCCTCGTATTAAATGTATTCATTCATTCATTCATTCATTCGACAGGCTTTCTTATCCGTGCCAAGTCATTTGTATCTTATTTTTAACCAGAGCAATAAAGTATTTATTTTTATCACGAGAGTTTCTGAGAAACGTGATTGTCATTATTTCATTTCCACCCCTCACTCGGTGCAGCCGGTTGAGCCCCATCGTCCGTCCCTTTTACGCCAGCGCCACAAGTGAGCCGAGCGCAAGGCCGCTTATTTACTGCGCAAGCGCTCTGAGGCAGCCGCCCGTCCGGCGAGCGCAGGCGCACTTACTGCAGAACCAGCGCCTCATCACCTCCCTGGAACCCGCCGCAGTGCGCAAGCGCGCAACATCCCCGTTTCCCTGCCCTCAGTCCCTCACCCCCCCTCCTTTCCCCTTCAAGAAGCCGGCTCCGGGGCGCGCTCACCCCTGTGAGGAGGCCGGAGGCCGGACACCGGAGGCGCTCTCTCCACTCCCGGAAGATCATGTACCAGCCCAGCCGGGGGGGCGGCCCGGCGTTTGGGCCCCTGCCTCCGTGCCTACCAGGCTCGTCCCCAGGTGAGAGCAGAGGGGAAGCGGGAGGGGAGGAGAGGGGGCGGGGAGAGACCCTCCTCAGAGCCGGCGCGTGGGGCGGAGCGCGCGCTCGGTCCGCGCAGGCGCAATGACTCCCACCGCGCCTTCCCACCTGTGCGGGGCGGCGCGTGGAGGGGCCAGGGGTCTCGGGGATCCGAGGGCGGGGCTGCCAGCCCTGGCGCACACTGGAGGTCGGTTCTCCCGGGTCTCGGGGGGGCAGGCGGGATTGAAGCTGGGGCGGCGAGGCGCGGCCTCATTTCGCCCGCGTCTCCGCGGTTACCTGTGCCTGGAGGTGATTTGAAGGGCAGGGGGCGGAGTGATTCACGGCGCGGCCCGGGAGCCTACCAGACCGACCTGCAGGCCGCACTCTGCAGCCCGCGCATCTTGCACCCGGATAGCGGTCCCGGCGGGAAGGCCGGCCCAGGTGGACCCGTTTCGGGCCCCTGCGCCCGGGCGGGCAAGATGGCCACGCCCCCGGCGGAGACGGCGCCTCGGGGACACCGTCGGGGACCGAGGTACCCGTGCGGCCCGCCCGCCTTCCCGATTATGAAACCCCTCGGGGGGTTCCTTGGGAACGCAGGGACTCGGGCCAGGTCTGACTTTGGGTGACCTCCCCCTCATCGAAGTGTCAGTAAACCAGGGGAATGAGGTCCAGCCTTTAACGGTCTCCTGGGCTTTTACGTGTCATTAGAGGGAGCCCAAGTAATAAGCTTGCATTTATATACTGCTTTACAGGCCGCAAAGTTTTATTTACATTTATTATCTCATATAGTCCTCATAATAACTCAGTGTGGCCTCATCGTCCTCGTTTATAGGGGGACATTTATGGGAAACTCAGGCTTAGGGAATTAGAGTGCCTAAGGCTACATGATCGAATCGGAACTCAAGTCTCCTAGTTCCGGTTGGATGTTCTTTTCTCCATACAACTGCCTTACACACTTACTCGTGTAATTGTGGTGCAGGCCGCATCATTTCCTCCACTGTACGATAAAAGCTGTTATTCACTCATTTGTTCATTCTTCAAATATGTATTATGATTCTTGCTATAAGAGAGGCAGACCTGCCCCTAAACAGTGTTGGAATCTTAAATCTAAAGGTATTTGCTAATGTTTTGGGGAAGATACTTGTACTTACGTCACAGGAGAGTATTTCCTCCTGTTTTAAGTAGGGATGGAGGTGAATTTTTCCTCTAGTAATTCCATCTCTCTCAAGAGGAGCAGGAGGGATTGGAAGCAGGTTAATGGGCAGTTTGGATGGCGGGACATGAGGCAGCTGGATTCTTAACTTTTTTGCTTTTGTTCCTTCTTAGGACCAGCTTTCTCCACGGCCTCTACCATTCCCACCCCTTTGGTCCCTCTCCACAGCAACCACTTCTCCACCTTTGCCTCTTCTTTGGTCTCCCCCACCCCCATGCCTTCCCAACCGGCTGCTTCCCAGAGCTCCCCCACTACCTGTCCCTCAGGTCCAAGCCCTCACCTCACCATGGGTGGTTCTACCCCCAGGAATGGGGGAGGAGGGACCAGGACCTGAATTACATAGTGGCTGTTTAGATGGGCTTCGGAGCCTATTTGAGGGACCTCCCTGGCCCTGTCCTGGGGCTTTGATACCTTTCCAAGCCCCTGGGACTGCCCACCCTTCCCCTGCCACTCCATCAGGAGATCCGAGTATGGAGGAGCACTTAGCTGTCATGTATGAGAGACTGAGACAAGAGGTAAGGCAGTTCAAAAGTCTTTGCCAAAATGGGAAGAGATGGAGGTGATTCTTAAAAATAGGGAGTTAGTCAACTGGATTCTTTCTTGGAGCCACGATGGAGTGACACGCATAGAAATATAAACATTTCTCAAGGAAAAGATGCTTCTCAGTTTGAATTAGGGAAGTTAAAAACATGGGAGGAGATAACGTTTCACTCAGAGAGGAATAAGGAGACACTAAATACAGAAAACTGAGAAATAGGGTCATCTTTTCTTTTCTCCTGGTCTCATGTCTTCTTCTTTCACCTAGCTTCCCAATCTCTTCCTTCACTCCCACGACTACACTCTCTACTCATCGGATGTGGAATTCATCAATGAGATCCTGAACATACGTACCAAGTGAGAATCCAGGAACGGGTAGGGCCTTGGGGAGGAAGAGGACCCAATGCTGTTTTCACTTATTAGAGAAGGTTCTAGGCTGCTTCTCATAAGTGTTCCCCATTCTTCCAACTAAGGCCAGTTTGGTTTTTTGATTCTGCCATCATGAGATTTCTTTCCCATCCCTTCTTCCTAGGGGCCGGACATGGTATATTCTGTCACTGACCCTCTGCCGCTTCCTGGCCTGGAACTATTTTGCGCAACTTCGGCTGGAGGTTCTACAGCTGACCCGCCACCCTGAGAACTGGACCCTGCAAGCCCGCTGGCGGCTTGTGGGGCTGCCCATCCATCTGCTTTTTCTGCGTTTCTATAAGCGTGATAAGGAAGAACTTTACCGGTAAGAAAAGTGAGAAAGGAAGCACACTAAAATCAATTTCCTAATCTGACCCTTTTAGGAATCTATGGTCTGGTCCCCTAAACAATCCTCCATCTCCCCTGACTTGACTGCAGGCTCCTTGAGGGCAGGATCTTGTTTTAAGTCTACTTAAATATAACAAAAATAGGGACTCTGAGTATATTAGGAGGCTTCTGAACTCAGTTTTTTCAAGTACATTACTTGGCACATAAATACTAAAATACTTACTGAGCAGATGAAAATTCCTGTCTCATAAGTTGTGCCTCACACCTTAGGTAAAGTGCTTAGTAAATTTCTGGCACAGAGTCGAATCCCAAGAAATTCTTAGGCTCAGCCCAAACCAGTGGTTCCCAGACTTTGTTGCACAGTGGAATCATCTGAGGATCTTTAAAGAAAATTTGGTGCCAGACATTGTGATTTAATTGGGCCAGGGTGTAACCTGGCTTCAGAAATTTTAAAGGACCCCCAGGTGGTCTAATATGTAGCAAAGTTTAGGACCTACTAAACAGATGCTTGAATTAAACCTTGTCCCTGGGTAAGCCTCTCTTCTCTTCATCAGGACCTATGATGCCTATTCCACCTTCTACCTGAATTCCAATGGCCTCATTTGTCGCCATCGCCTAGACAAAGTGAGTCCCAGGGCTGGAAAGGGGTGGGATGACAGGGTAGAACATCCTACCAACCAGCATTAAGCTTTCTCCCTGCAGCTGATGCCTTCACACTCACCCCCAACGCCTGTGAAGAAGCTGCTAGTGGGAGCCCTGGTGGCTCTGGGGCTGTCGGAACCAGAACCCAACTTACAACTGTGTTCCAAGGACTGACCCAGGAACTGGGGTGGAGGCAGCAGTTAAAGAGTTCGCTACGCACAAGAGGAGGAGGTGGAGCCGGCCAAGAACCTCAGGAGCCAGCTTCCCCGACTCTTCTCGCTCCTCCTTTCCTGTCCATCTCATGCTGTGTAAAGCTGCTGTGTAATTTAATTTGTAAATAATAAAATCTAAGTGAATATGTGAGATCGAATTTCCATGTCACTTTCTCTGAATCTCAAAAGTCCCCTGTAGCTTTATTCCAAAAATATTTTTATTAATAGATATTAAATAATGTACAGAAAGAAAAGGAGCTGGTGTTAGGTTCTGTTTATGTCCCTTCCCCTCTACCCTAGCTCTTCTCGTGTCTTGCCTATTTTTTTGGGCATTTTCTTGGCATGGGGATCTTCTAGCTCCTTGGCCTTGTAATAGTGGGGAGCCACCTCCAGAAGCCAACTGCTTTCAATCTCCAATACCTAGAAGGGGAGAGAAGAAAATCAACAGGGTTCCCTTTTATCCAACCTAGATTCTGATGTGTGTGTGATTTAAAAAAAAAAATTTCTCTCCTTTCCCATTTGACTGGGAAAAGGAGCAGGGGCAGGGGAAAGGGAACCTGTCTCAAATACTCTACATCCCAAGGGCAGACACACCTCTACATTCTATTCAAGATCACAGGTAAGCTATCCCTGAACTAAAGCCTGAACATAAAGACTACACTCAGAGCCCTCATCTGCCTTGTTCACCATTACCACTCAAAACACCCAGACGATGGGCATTCCCATACTTAGTAATGAATACAGTTTTCAGATCTTAAATGATGCTGAGACAGCTGTTAGAACGGATGCCTTTCTATTTTATCCTACCTTAAACCAATTGTGCGTCCCTGTCTCTGCCAGTCCCAGCAGTGTGAATCTGGGTTTTTAGCTCTTCAGGATACCATCTCCCACACGATCCACTTGCCTGGGCAAAGCAAGGTCCCCTCACCTGTCTCATGAACTCCTTGGTGGTCAAGACAAGTTCGTGGTAGAGCAGCCAGCGTGGCTGTTCCTCAAAGAGGGAAGAATTGGGATGAATGAACACCGTCTGCTGCTGTTTCACTGTGCGGTAGCCGCTACGAGTCAGCCGTGCTGTGTGGTAAAAGTAGCCGGCAGTGATGGCCTAAGGAGCGGGGAGGAAGGAAAGTCAACGGGAAAGGCAGGCACCCAGGGACCGTCAGCACTCACTGCCTTCTTAGTTCAGGCTCTGGGAGAACCAGAAAGGTAATGCGTGCTCGAAGAAGCACTGGGAAGGAATCTTTGGTGTCTGGGGAAGAGAGTACAGGAGAGCACACCTGCCACAGGGGAGGGGGTCACGTTCCTAGGCAGGGGACTGCCACTGGCCCCAGAGGAGAAGCTTGCTCCTCGGGAGATGCTGGGTGGACAGCAGCAGACGAAAGAGACGCTGACCTTGCGGACACGGATATAGTCCCCCTGGCAGGAACTGAGGCCAACTTCCACGCGTTCCAGGAGCCCCTCCAGCTGTTCCCGCACATCCCGGGCTCGGCGCATCGATCTAAACTGTACAAAGTTCTCATAGCACCACTGGGAAGAGTAACCACTCTCAGCCCACTGCGAACAGGGTTGAAAAAGAGCATGGGGTGGGGATGGGGGATGTTGAGTATACAGCAGGATCAGAGTCCCGCATGTTCCCCTCATTCCCACTCACCCAAGCCCAGTGACCTGTGTATAAACATTCAGCAGAACCAGGTGGTCCCCACCAGGGAGGAAGAAGTTGACACGAGCATTGTCGGCATGGACAACCTTGTCCTTGGGTCGGTAGAAAATGGAGTTGTTGACAGAGAGCATGGCGGCCACTGTCAGGATCTCCTCCGAACAGCCGTACCTGGAGCAGGAAGGCAGGTTGGCATAAATAAGCAGCACTAGGAGCTCCTGGATTTTGGAGCCCAGGCGGCAAGAGACAGAGTGGGAAAGTGATCGCTGGGTGACGGAGGTCCTCACGTGGGGACTACAGGTTGGGCTAATGGCTACAAATTGGTTGGTGGCAGAGATGGGGTCAAGGAGGTGAGGGCTATAGATGAAACAGTAACAAGACAGATATCCACGGAGGCAGAGGCAGGAAAGTACAGGGGATCCTGGAGGGTTCTGCAGTTAAGGTGTGCATGACAGTACCCCCTTTAAGTTCATGTAATGACCTTTAACCTCAACCATGGGCAGAAGAATGGCATTGAAAGGTGGCCCTCCACAGCTACATCTACATGTTCCAGTCTGAAACCTTAGGAACGAGTAAGTCCCCAAACCAGCCCTCACTCAGCACTCCCCAGATGGAAAATCTTCCACTTGCCTTCATGCCCCCAAATTTTCTACGTGCTTATCAATTTGACCCATTTGATATTATAACCAAAGACTGGACAGTAACTGGCTGACCCTGGTGGGCCTTAAAAGGGGCAATGAGAATTCTCTAATAACTTGTTATTTGGTAAAGAATAACGTGATGGAGAGAAAAAGAGCAAAGATGGCCCCAGAGACAGAAGGAGGCGTGGCCCGTGTGTGTGCTGGGGGCCCAGCTGAAGCAGGGGGCTTACTTCTCAGAGGCCAGGATCATTTTAGACAGCATGGGGTCCACCGGCAGTTCTGCCATCTTTCGACCAGACTGAGAAGAAGAGGGAGAGTTGAGACCAGTCCTCCCTCAGGCGTCCCTCCACCCCTCAAGGGGCCACCCCACCTTCCTCCTGCCCCTGGCCCAGCCCGCTGCCCTCCCACCTCACCGTGGTGAGCTCCCCAAGGTGGTTGAGGGCTCCCAGTGCATACAGCTGCTCCAAAGCCAGCAGCAGGGTCTCATACGGCGGAGGGTCCAAGAAATCAAAGTGCATTAGGTCATGGATCCCTGGAGAAAGACATGGGAGGTAGAACTGGGTCCCGTCACAAAGACCAATGACTCCAGCCCCACCTGGCAGGACTGGGGGTCCCAGTCACCTAAGCTCTTGAGCAGCAACACGACATTGCCGAGGCTGGTCCTCTGGATCTCAGGCACCGTGGTTTCCTCCAGCTCGTGCTGATAGGCCCAGGCGGTATACAGGCGGAAGCACTTCCCTGCAGCCACCCGACCTGCCCGACCAGCTCGCTGATTGGCTGAGGCCTGGCAAGAAAGGATGATTTGTCAGGCTGGCTGATAATTTGGTGAAGGAGAACAGAAAGGGCAGTGTTTCTGACAGAAATCTGGGAGAGTGACCGCTAATCCCCCTTGCCATTCCCCCCCTCCCCCACTGGAGGCCCCACTTGAGCCCAGGCCAACCTTGCTGCAGGGTGTGACAGTGAGTGATTCCATGCCCGTGCGCGGGTTGTAGCTCTTCTGCTTACAGAACCCCGGATCCAGCACGTAAATGATGCCCTCAATGGTGAGAGAGGTCTCGGCGATATTCGTTGCCACAACCACCTGAGTGAGAGGATGTGGGGTCACCCAGAAACCCCTCCTCAATCTAGTCATCCAGAAAAAGCAATCCTTTTTCTTTTGAGGGGGGGTTCGGGGGTTTTGTCAGAGGTGGGAGCTGGGGATGGCGGGGGTCAGGTTCCTGCCGCATCTTCCCCACTGTCACTTTCACATTCACCTTCACATGTTACTTCCTGAAATAGCCTCCTGACAAGTCTCCCTGCTTCCACTCCTAGCCCTGGGCACAAGGCATCCAGGATGGTCCTTCTAAGATGTGGCCTGTCACATCACCCTCCCCCACATTCTTCAGTGGCTTCCCATCCTACCTGAGAATCATATCCAAGCCCCTCCAGGCCCAGGCTACCTTTCTGGTCTCATCTCCCAGCACCCAGGCTGCTCACTCCACCCCACCCACTGCGCCCACTGCCGAGTGCATGCCTCACACCCACCCTCCCCATGAGCTGTTCCCTCTACTTGGTGTGCTCTTCTCCTGGATGTCAGCCTGGCACCCTCCCTCACCTGGTTCAGGCCTCACCTTCACTCTCACCTTATCAGAGATGGGGAGGCCTCCCCTATACCCTAAGGATAGTACCTTCCTGACACTCCTCCCCCATCTCCCAGGAGTCTGAATCCATCTTCCTGTGCCCCACTGTATCTCTTCAGAGTCTGTCACAAATTGATATTATGTATTTAAGTGTCCATTGTCTCCTAACTTGCATTACACTAAACTCTGTGAGGCTAGGGACTTGTCCATCACTGCATCCCCACCCCTAGAACAGTATCTGAAATGGGGGAGGAACTCTTTAAATATTTGCTGAACAAAAGTAACATCTTTGTTCAAAATCCTTTGACAACCACTCACTGGTCTAAAGTCCACACTCTTTCACCTGCCATCAAAGGCCCTCTCTAATCTCAGTCCAAAGTTGTTTTCAGCCTGTCTCCCACTTCTTCCCCATGTGAAGCCTTCTAGATTATTCTGACCTCAAACACACCTTAAGTCTTCCTCTAATATTCCCCTACCATCTTCCCTAAAGGTCCAGATCAACTCCCATCTCCTGGTGCACCAAGGGCCTCTCTTCTCCCCTGAGTCTCATGCTCAATTTCTGGATCGTGCATTTGGCTGCCTCTCGGGTCCTGCCATAGTCACCCTCTCTCTCCAGCTCTGGAGGCGAGGGACTGACTGCCACCGGCCTCGCAGCTGCAGCAGCGCCCAGGACGCACTTTGCAGAGGGCAGGGAGACTTTCCTTTCCACTACTAGTTGGGTGAACTATAGGGGGAAGGACACAGGTCTCTCCCACTGACCTTCCGTGCCCCAGGGGGCGTGGGCTGGAAGATCCGCGCCTGCATGTCGGAAGGCAGGTTGGCATAAATAGGCAGCACCAGGAGCTCCCGGATTTTGGAGCCCAGGCGGCGACAGCGATCCTGGAGCATCTCACAGGCAGCCTCGATCTCCTCCTGGATTTGGGGTGAGGAGACCAGCAGGGGTCCCAGAGTCATAGGAGGCCAGCAGGGGTCCCAGAGTCATAGGAGGCCAATCAGCCAGCCCTATCCTCCCATGGAATACATACATCACATCCCCTACCCCTACGTCACACACCTGTCCTGTCAGGAACACCAGGATATCCCCAGGGGGCTGGGTCACGTGGATCTGCAGCACAGACACCACACAGGCTTCCAGGTAGTCCGCCTCCGGAGCCTGGGGAGGAGGAGGTGGGGTCACATGAAGGTCATCTGCTCAGGCAAACCTCTTCCTCTCCTCCCAGCTCGACACACACTGTACCCTAGTTCCCCTTTGGCCTCTCCAGCCCACTCTTCCCTCCTTGGGACAGCCTCCTCCAAAGGCTCCAGCCCTGCCACCTTTACACTGAAGCCCATCCTCCCTGAGGGGTACCTTGGTATAGAAGATGTCAACCGGAAACCTGCGGCCAGGGATTCGGAAGACGGGGGCGTCATCGAAGAAAGTGGAAAAGCGGGCAGTGTCCAGTGTGGCCGAAGCCACCAGGACCTTGAGCTCAGGTCGGAACCGAGCAACATCCTTGATTAACCCAAAGAGAATGTCTGTGTGCAGCGTCCGTTCATGAGCCTCATCCACCATCACCACACTGGGGGAGGAACGGGGACAGCAGTGAGGGGGAGCCGGCCAATGCAGGAGTGGATGTGGGGCCCCGGATGAGAACAGATGGAAGCAAAGAGTCCAAGGGTGAATGTGGGAAGAGGAGGGCTCCAAAGAGAAGCCAATCATCCCAGTTAAGCCAGACCAATAGCAAGTTAGAGAAGGCCAGGGCCCCCTGATCTGCAGCCTCTCCCAGCCTGGGCAAACAGCAGCCAAGATCTGGAGGCTAGAAGTGGAAGCCAGAAAATAGTCAGACATCTGCTCTGGATCAGAGTCAAGAGCCTGTTAAGCATCAGCAGAAGTAAGGATTTCTGTTTTAAAGGAATAAACAGTAAGGTAAGGTCTCTTTGAATTCAGAGGGTTGGCCCCCAGGCTGGCTGGGAGGGTACTGACAGACCTGAGCCACCATGATTTGAACAGCCCAGGAGTTCCCAGCACCCTGCAGGATGGCTGCCGCGCATCCCTGCTGGCCCTGCCACCTCTTCCTGGAGAGAGGGGCCTGGTGAGCCCTCCCACCCCAACCTTAGAGGACTCTGCAGGCTTCTGGGTCTCCTCGTAACTTAGCTGTGTCTGTGCCACCTTCTTTCTCCTTGCTCTAGTCTTTGGACTTCCTGGCCAGCCCACAGGAGCTCACCCCTGATCTTAACCCTTCGAGCCTAACCCTGATCGAGATGGTGAAGTCCTCAGCCGTTTCACAAGCAGGCTGGCTTGATGGGAAAACCCCACAGCCTGAACACTCTTGCACTGGCTGGCCTGCCATGGGTTCTCAGAGGTTTTTGCAAGGGCTGTGAAGGACGAAATCATATCTGTCCCATTGTTTCACTGTGATCCTCTAGGACCGGAAATCCACAGCCTCCTAAGAGCTGAAAAGGCACACAGTACTCAGCTGGCCTGATGCCACCCTCCATTCCATACATGAATCACTTTGCCTCACAACTCAGGCTCATCCACCCCTGCTTGGCCAAAGCCAGCACTGAGAACTCACCACTAACAGGCCAAGCCACTACAAGATACGGGCCAGAGGCTCGAGAGCCAGGGTGCGAGTACTCTGACAGCCCCTGCAACCTCTGCCACTCTATAGCTTCTTGTACTGAGCTGAAATCCTCCCCCTCTAACCTCTCCCATGGCTCCTAGCTGGGCTCTGGGGTCACATAAAGCAAGTCTGGTCCCTTTTTCCATATAACAGCCCTCCGCATATTAAGAGGGAACCAGAGTGTCTGAATTTCCCCCATGAAGCTGAACAGTCTAAGTTTCACATGGCTTCTCAAGTCCCCACAGCACGCCTCTACCATCCTGGTTGTTTCCTGAACTCTGGGAACAACAGGGGACAGAGGGAGAGGTTCTCTCTGCAGCCCCTTCTACCCTCCAGCCCCTTCTCAGTTCCAGGACTGTTAGAACCATAGAGATTCAAGAACTGGCGGATGAATCAGAAGAGAAGATAATGATCATATTGGCCAGGTGGGACAAAAGGAGAGAAAAGCCAGAGATTAAAGGAGATCAAGGCAGGCACAGCTGGGAGGAGGGCTGTGGACCCGAAAGAGGCCAAGGTGGGCAGTTCTCCCTCCTGTGGGAGGGGAGGGGGAGCTCTGCATATACCTGTAACTCGCAAGGTCAGGCTCAGAGAGGAACTCCCGGAGAAGCATCCCGTCTGTCATGTACCGCAGCACAGTTCGCTCTGATGTGCAGTCCTCAAAGCGGATACTGTAACCAACCTGTCAAGGGGGCCATTAGTGAGCAAGACTGGGTGGGTGCTCCCTCAAGGGAGAGGACAAGGGTGAGCACCTGGACCACTGTAGGGGGCCCAGAGGGCAGCGTGAGCTGAGTTCCAGACCCTAGGGGTTCCTCTCACCCCTCAGTCCCTACAGATCTCACCTCATTCCCAAGCTTCACCCCCATCTCCCGGGCCACTCGGGCAGCCACGCTCATGGCAGCCACTCTCCGGGGCTGGGTGCAGGCAATCTTCATACCCTTCTGTGTGTAACCCTGCAGGACAAGGAGAGAGAAGAGGTTTTCCCTTTACTAACATGCCCCTGGAGCCCAGGACAATTTAGAGAAGTTGGAAATGTGGGCCAGGGCAGGGGGAACAGAGGAACAGATAGAAGCTAAAAATCTGACAAGAAGGACAAATGACAGAATGGCAGACCTAGGGGGTCCTCACCCAGCCCTGGCAGTCCTAGACCTTTGGGTCATCAAATTCAGGGCTCTGTGAGATCTGAGATGGAGAAGGACCGACCAGCGGGGGCAGACCCGGAAGCAACAGGAACAAAGGAAGGTAAAAAAGCAGGAAAACAACACTTTTCATTCCTTGTTCCTTGGCCCTGCACAAGAGCGGAGGCTGAACTGGTGGTGTATAGGGTCCACATTCATACCCATATGCCACCATCTAGATGTCTGCACTTCCTTCTAACATGAATGTACTGGACACAGTGGCAGAAAATGAGAACATATGAAAAGGGTGTGGTCCTTCTTCTCAAGAACCTCACCATTTGGCCGAAAAGACTAAAGGACTGAAGTGGACACAGTAAGTGACTACAGGTGCCACAGAAAAGAGCTCTGACAGGACTGTGCTTCTCGATGCCAACTGCAGGGTGTGGCCGCCCTACCTCCTCAAAGAGGTACTGTGGGATCTGGGTGGTCTTGCCCGAGCCTGTCTCGCCTTCAATGATGAGGACCTGATGATTAGCAATAGCGGCCACGAGCTCCTCGCGGAATGGGAACACCGGGAGGCTGCGGCGGACGGCCTGGATGGACTCCTTCTGCTGGGCCTGGGTTGGAGCGGGTGGAGCTGATGGCTCCTAAGAGGGAGGAAGAGGGCCGTGAGCTTCGAGGCCAGCTCCCTGCCCACCTCAGGCCATCCCAGAGATCCCCCCTCTCACCTCATCACCCTGGAGCTGAGTGGCCCGGACAAACTCGATGGTCTCCTCTTCCTCCAGCACCAGCTGATACTTGGGCTCCTGGGAGGCAGCATCTCGGGCCCCAAACTTCAAGGACGCTGCCCCCAGCCGGGCCTCCTCCCAGCGCCGCTGTTCCTCCCCGGGGGCGCCGGACTCCTCCTCCACCAGATCCGCGGCTCGCGCTGGCTGTGCAGAGAGGGGGCTGTGAAGATGGAAGCTGCCCTCTCCGCCCAGCGTCCCCTTCCCAGTCACCACCCTACCCACAGCAAAAGGCAAGACAAGGAAGGGGCCAGCCAAGGCACCACCCAGGTCCTTGAAGCCTTCCCTTCCCTCTGCCTGGGGACTGGGAATGAAGTGGTGATCCCCTGGCTTCACCTGTCCTCGGGTCTCCTCAGGCATGTGGTAGCGATTGGTGGCCTCCAGCTTCTCCTGCTCCCCAGCTGCCCGGTACTCCCGGGCCAGATCCCGCACACGTCGCTTGTATTTGAGCTCCCGCCGCTCATGTCGGCTCAGCTCCACATCCCCAAAGAGGAACTCCTCGTCCGCCAGCTCGGCCTCCAGGTCCTCCAGCTTCTCGCGTTCCCGCTTGGCCAGGTACTCTCGGCGGGACTTCTTCCTCAGCTCGGGGACCTGGGACAGCACGGGGCATCAGAGCCTCATCTTGCTGGAAGGGCAACCTCTTCCCTACACACCCCCAAGATTGACAATGTCCCTGACAGGCCAGCACAAGAACCTAAAGATGTGTCCTCACCTACCTTCCCTCTGCACTGAGCACCCCGATCAACAACAGGCCCAACGCTGGGCCTCTTTGAAAGACACACGCTGACCCCACATGCTGCCTTCCAGCAGCAGGATCCAGCTGGACCATCCTTCTGGGCAGCCTCACCATGTTTGCCAATATAGACACGAGGACGATTATGTGCATATGTTATATTCTACTCTTACTATATTATTCCACCGAGTAGAAAAGGGAAAACAAAACAGCTGAGACCAGCATCTGGCAGCAAAGGCCTCAAACTGAAAACAACTGAGGCAACTGGAAACCAGTGGATGGGCCAACAATACCAGTATGTAATCTTCTGCCCCAGTGAGATGCTCCTTGGTCTTGAACTGAATGACTAGTTTGGGGGAAAGGGAAAAATAAATTATATATGAAAGGATGGAAGTACAGCATCACGGAGTGGTTCTGGGAGGCAAAATGTAACCAGGGATGTTTAGCTCTGGGACTAACCTCTCCCCCTCAGACAATGGGTCATTTGGCTTGTACACGTTTCCTTTCAATACAGGCCTTCAGGACACACTGTGGATGACAGAAGATGGGCCACATCATTCAGACCCTTCTCGACTCTAACCATGACCCCTCCCACTGTGGCAACGTGATCGTCCTTGTGATCAAGAACAGCTCCTACTAGAGGAACAAAACCCCATTGCTGCCCTACTGCTGGGGGTCCTCATTCTATTTAATTGCTTGGCTTTTCTTGTTTGTTCTATGAAGATTTAAAATAGAGTTTATGCTCATAACCTAGCCTGAGTACCACAATTAAAGACTGCTTTGGCCTAATGTAGGAAGCAGATAAACAAATACCTTTTTAAAATATGGGCAAAAAATCAGGACAGTTTGAGCATCAAAAAGAATAGTGATATGAAATTGTAAAATCATGAGAAATAAAAATCCACGAGTCCAGAGTGACACATATACATACAAACAAAGAATAAGGAAAAAAATCTTGTCACCAGTGAGGTGACTGTTACACCAGATTCTTTACTCTGAAAATTAGTAATTAAAAGGAAACAACTAAACATTTGCCCTCCCTTTTAAGAAGAAATTGTAGCTCATTCCTTGTGGTGGAGGAAAAGATCTTCTTAATGTAAAAAAGGCTAGTCAACAAATGCAGGAGGAGTGTCAGAATCCCCAAATCACCATTTTGCAATCTGCCATGAAATAACGGATTCAAGAAAGATTAGCAATGGTTGCTAAAAACCATCAGCTGAAAGGCTGTTGGAGGAAGGATACTTGCACTAACAGATACACAACTGGACAGGATGCCCCTAGTGTGAAGTGTACATCACTACCCAAGAGGTGTTCCTGCTTAATCTGAGTCTAAGCCAAGTGGTAGACCCAATTTCCACTTTAAAGGAAGCACAGGGAACAGAACTTAACACCATAAGATAAGGATCAGGTAAATCCAGAAAGTAGGACATGGTATAAGAAGAGAAAGAAAGAAAGAAAGGGAGAGGAAAAATGAAACAAACAAACTTAAGAGACCTAACAACCAAAAGCAATGCATAAACCTTGAATGGATTCTAGCTTGGAAAAGGCAGTTATTAAAAACATTTGGGGGTAACTGGGGAAATTTTATTGTAGGCAGGTTCTTAGTTAATACATGAAACATTACCGTTTACCTTCTTGGGTGTGGTTTTAGGGAACATCTTTATTCTTATGAGGTACATGCTGATGGGATAAAAATGCTATGATGTCTAAAACATTTCAATGGTTCAAAAAGAAAAAAGCCTTCATTTACACAGACATTGCAAATATTAGCAATTTGTGAATCTGAAGTCTGGATAAGTGTTCAAAATGCTATTTTTCAACTTTCCTATTTGTTTGAAAGTTTTCATAATTGAAAAAGAAGAAAAAAATTAAATTCAGGAAAGTAAAAATACTACACCAGCACTGAGAGATGTCTCAGAAGTCCCTGACCACAGTCACTTTGTGGTGTGTGACCTGAGATGGACTGGTCAGGAGAGACCTGAAGACCACTAGGCCATTTTTAGGACACCAAGAGTCTAAAAATTCTTTTAGGAAATCTAAGTGTGACTTACTTGGGAAGAGCAGGCCTTTGGAAAACTTCAGCCCTACCTAAACTCACCCTATAACAAGTCCAGTTCATGAATTACAAGGGCTCTGTCCCTATCTAGTGAGAAGACCAACTCAAGAAATCAGAGGGAAACTACAAGGCCCCATGGTGGGTAGAGGGATTAGGTGGAAGGAAGGTATTTGGAGATCGTGTGCTCAAGCTGAGTAGTCAGCACATCCCTGGGCAATGGGACTCCTGCTTGCCCCTGTCCTCCAGCCACCCCCTTGAATCTTCCAGCTGCCTTTTGAGTACATCTCTTTAAGTCTTGGGAACAGGGAAGCTCACACTTTCCTCATTGACACAGTGTAATCTGTGTCAATGAGGAAAGGAGTCAAAGGAGGATCTCCTCCAGAGACCCAACACCCCACCAGCATCCCCACCACACTTCCTTTGCATCCTTTCTCCCTCCCTCTAACCACTCCATCAGAAAGTCTTTCCTTTTATCTTCTGATCTTGGTTTCCTGGGCCCTGGTACTCACCATGGCTTTCCGGTCTTCCTCGGCCATCTTGAGGCGCTTCTGAGCCTCTTCATAAGCCTAAGAGAAGAAAGCAAGAGTGGAGGGGTGTGAGGCCCAAAGTCCCCACACCCCACAGCCATTCCCTTTCTAGAATCACAAGGATCATTCAGACATTCCCTGGCACAAAGAAGTGTCCCTCTTCACTGAGCAATCTCCATGGCTACAGGGCCAGCAGAGAGTCCCCTCAGCCAGAGACCCAAAGAGATGGACAGACCATAGAGGCAGCCCCTTGTCTTCCCAGAGATCATGATGTCTGCAAACACACCCAACCTCAGATGGGATGCGGGGGTCTTCCTGGGCATTTATGGAATGGGCTGCTCCTATGTAGGCACCTTCTTGTCTGACCGCTCCAGGACATTGCGTGTCCGATCCTTGTCCCGCTGCCGAACTCGCTCGGCAAAGGCATCGCGTTCCTCCAGGTCCTGAAGACGTTCTCGCTCTGTCCGCTCCCACTCGTCCTCTGACTCTGGCTTCTCCGTCTGCTGTTTACTCCCCCTGCAGCCCAGCCCAGAGGATTAACTAAGGGCATCAGAGGCTTACCGTCCCATCATCCACCTGTCCCATCATCCACCTACCCCGTCCTCTCTCTCCCTACTCCTGATTTACCCTGCCTTCCTCTTTCCTTTCTCAGAAACCTCTTCCTCCTCCTCTTCTTCCTCCTCCTCCTGACGTTTCTTCCTCAAGTGTTTCCGTTTTTTCCGCTTCTTCTGCAGATTGCTCCCAGTCCTGCCTATGGTCTCCTCACTGCTCTCCTCACTGTCCTCCAGCAATCTATAAGATCGGTTCTTCTCCAGCAGGGCTCGGGCCTCTCGCTCAGCTGCCCGAGCTGGTTTTTCCACCACTGCCTTCCGTGGGACCTGACAGAAGAGAAGATATGGGGATGTGAACAATTCCTGATCTCTGCCCACCTACTCTGCCCTGTTCCTAATTCAAAGAATAACTTGCTGTTAAGCCGGCATTCATTCTCTCTTCCCCATGGCTTCAAAGCCTGTCCCATGCTCCTTTTGCAAGGTACAAAGGATACTGGAAAAGAGAAAAAAATTCATGCCCTCACGAAGTTTATACATTCTTAAACCCAATTCTCAACTGTTCAGCCTCTGTTCTTCCCAATGATAAAGTCATTCCTACACATGGACTGACAAGGATTATTTTGGCAGAGGCCTGTCATGGACCTGGCATTGTACCAGACTCCAGGGATACACTGGTGAACAGATGAACCTAAAGTCCCTACCCTCATGTCACTTACGTTCTAACCTCATCTCTCATCAAGCACTAATGGGATGGCCACACCAGGTTATCTGCCATCCTCTACACAAGCTCAGCACTTTCATTCTTACTGTATAGTTTCTGAGCACCTGGTCTGCAAGGTGCACTTAGGTGGCAAGAATACAAAGATGAGAAATACACAGTTCTGTCCTACGGGAGCTCACCTTTATATTTTCCTCTTTCCCCCTTCCTTATTTGACAAATTCCAGAGACTTTTGGGTCTGCCTTTCCTTTTCACGACCCGCACTCCTTCTGCCCTCCCACAGCTTCCCACTTTCCATCTCTTCTATAGCCTCACTATTCAAAGTGTGGTCTGTAGACCATCAGCGCCACCGGGAAACTTGTTAGATCTGCTAGAAATGAAGAAACGAAGATTCTATCCCAGATTTAACTGAATCGCAATCTGCATTTTAACAAAGGCCCTGGATGAATCCCATACATGTTAAAGTTTGAGAAACACTACTCGATAGCGCTTAATCCGACACACAAGCCCTTCTCAATCTTTTCCAATGAGCTGGACGTCCAGGCCGTAGGCGATAACGGACATAGAATAAATGCTTGTGAACTGAGCTTACTTAATTCTCCGATGGACAGTTAGCTTAACCTCACCTAGACAAATAACCTGGGGCCCCCTTCCCTGCTCCACCCCATCTCCCGCCGCTCCCAGGCCGGGCCCCGCCCCTCCCAGCACCTTATTCCAGAGTCTCAGGGCGAAGTCCCGGGCCGGCCCACTGAGGTCCAGGGTATCGGTGTCTCGCAGGCGCTGCACGAACTCCTCGGCCGAGGCGCAGCGCTGCGCGGTACCGATTAGGAATTGGGCCACGTGCCGCTCGCTCAGCCCCAGTACCGAGTGCAGCTCGTCCTGCACCCAGCGCTCCAGCCCCGCCGGCGTCGCCATGGCGACCCACACTCCCTATTCCCGGCCCTGAAAGTGTCTCAAGCAGCCACGGTGACGGCCAGGAGCGCCGGAGGCCTGGAGCTCCGGGCCGGAGCCTCCACTCTGCAAAGGAACTGTCTTAGGACCTGGAGGTTCCGTTTCCAACAGCCCAAAGCAATCTTTCCGGACCGCGGAGGCCGGAAGCAGCCGCACTTTCCCGGCCTAAGCACTACGGTGGCCGAGAGAATTCAAATATCACGAAATCGTACGCGAATTTTCATTTTCTCTCCTACCGAATCTCTCTGTCGTCCCCTATTGGTCATTCATGGGTGTTTCACTCACTCATTTCATTCAACAAATGCTGAGCACCTAATCCATGCTAAGAACAGTTTTAGTCCCTGGGGATGTAGCAAAAAAAACAAATCAGAAACAAATCCCTTGCCGAATTTACAGTGGTTTGGGGAGGAAGGAAGACAAGATGCATAATAAATAAAACATGTAAGTTCTATGGAGCCCAAAACAATGCAAAATGTGTCACTGTGTGTTGTGGGTAGGGGTTCTATTTAAAACTAGAAGATCAAGTCCATGTTTATTACAGATTAGCCTGTGCTGATTAGGAGTGACGTTTGCTAAGACTGGTACCTTCCACAGAAGTGAATACAGGTTAGGCTTAAACGAGGACTCCAGGCAGGAAGAAACTTGGGATCTGGAGGATAAAAAAAATGCCTTCTTGCTGTCTCCGAAAGTTTTTTTAACAGGTCTCCAAACTAAGGAATGTGCAAACTGAATTCTGCATTTTTTTGCTAACATATTAAGAAATTGACTGGTGGCTTCTTAATTCTAAATAAGCAGAGTTTGTTGCTTGACTGCTCTCTGACCTCTGATCTTGCTTTACGCTTTTATGTTAATTGGATTTATCAGATACTACTGTTGGGAAACAAAGCATTTATTATTCTAATTAACAGTCACAGGTAGCTCCACATCATTGACTTCTTGGATGCACTGTTTTCTGTTTCTGAAATGGACTGTGGGCACCCCTGGCACCTCAGAGCTTCCTGCCTCTGCTTTCCTGAATCATATCTGATTAGGATCTTTACCTAATTAGCTAATATAAGTATTGTTTCCTTCCACAGCCTCTCTGAAGTGGCTCATTCTCTTGATACCTTGCTTGTTCCTTTGCTAGTTCCCTTGCTAGTATGCTAAAGACCTTTGATATATGTTTAAGATCAATTTGTATAATACATGATATTTTTAATAAAAGGGGAACTCTCCTCTGACTAGATTGAGAAGAGCATCTTCTAATAGTAGAAGGACTGTAAGTATTCAACCATGACCTTACTAGCATGGAGAACTGAAAAAATGAACTGATAAGTAAAATAAAGATCTTCCACGTTTGTAGAAGATAGAAACGTACTGAAATGGGAAAACCTCTTAATGTCAACGATACTTGGGCCACAAAGCCATGAATTTTCGATGGTTCTTAAAATTTTGAGAATATAAAACGTATTGTCTAGCAGAGACTTTTTTTGGAAACTGCACTTCTGTACATACACCATATTTTGCAGTAATTTCAGGTTAATTATGGTCCCGAGTCTTGGAGTAAAAGCCCCTGGATTAGCCAGTGTCACACACTCTCTGGCTGCTTGGATTGTACTAGGCTTCTGAATACCAGAATCCTTCAATTCAGAGTATCCTTTGCTTCCAAATTTTTAGCTGCTTTTCAATTATTCACTCATTTATTCAGTCATTCATTCTTGAAAGAATACTGTGTATCTCCTACATGCCAGGCATGGGGATACTGCAGTGAACACAATGGACATAGTCTGCCCTTGTAGTACTACCCGTCTCATGGATACTTCAACTGCCCTTCCCCCAAACCAGTCCTTCAACTAGCCCTTTGAGAAACTGGTGCAGGGCTCTCCCAGAGCCCTTAATACATGTCAGTGCTGAGTTCCTGGTTCATCCCCATCATTTTCCCCTCCCACAGCCATGGCCACTTCCTCTTCATGCCCAGTAAGAAAATGGGAGAGGCTTGGAATGAGAAACCCAGAGCCCTGCCCCCCCACCCCAACATGCATTTTATCTACAGAAGGAGAAGCAGCAGGAGAGTCGGAGAGAGCTCCATTTTATTATGGAAAGTTAAAAAACAAACAAACAAACAAAAAGCACAGGCAATTGAGAAGGAAGAGGAAATGGGGGAAGAGAGTTGAAGTGCCTCATTTCTCACCCTGCACCCTCGCAATTCAATTCAGTTGTGAACCACTCGGAGGAATAGAATTAAATAACTAGAAGGGGTACAGAGTTAAGGTTCCCAGCCTTCCCTCTTGGGGAAAACTGAGACACAGTAATACTGAGCAAAAGTGGAGGAAGCCATACCCCCAGGTCACTCCCAATGAGGTGAATGCAGGGGACAGGGGAGAGGATTCCACGCCAACAGGCAAGTAGGCGTAGCTTGTAAACCTGGGACTTTGGCAGGTGGGGCCGGGAACTCTGGGAACTGGTGGGTTTGTAAACCAGAGTGTGGTCAAGAGAGGAGGCAGGAGCTGTAAACAAAGGGGTAGTGACCTAAGGAGCAGGAAGGAGAGGTGCCTGTAAATGGAGTAGGGGCCAGGTCTCCCAGGGAGATGGGTGCTTAAATCCTGAGAGCCCCCAGGGGGTGCTGGGGAGTCAGAAAGGCTGTAAGGAGAGTATACCCTGCCCATGGAGATGGAGGAGGTACTCCATCTCCACCCCCAGTGAGCTCTGTGCTCCTCTCCAGGACTTCATGGAGATCTGGGATCTTGCATAACCTGGGATATACCAGCATGTCTGATGAGGGTGGAAACTGAGCAGTTGCCTTTGCCCCCAGAAAAAGGATGAGGAAAGCAAGTTGGAGGATGTTGGTTGCCCTTCCCTGCCAGGCTCATTTTCAGGGTCTGTCTGCTCTGAATCTTCTGGGCTCCAGAATCTTCAGTTCTGAGGAGGGAGGTATATCCTTGTGTCAGAAAAGGGTCACCTCCGGCAGGACTCATCTGTGGAGAGGAGGCAATAAGCATAGAGAGTGAGTGAGGGTCCCAGCCTCCCGCCTCTCCCACCCACTCCCCAAACCGAAGGCCAGTTGGCACGTAGGAAATCTTCTGATAGCTTCCACATCCTGAGTGCTTGTTACTATCAGTAATCAGCCATCACTCACTTAGCCTGGATGCTGTGCCAGCCATTCTCGTAACTTGTTTCATCTTACAGTAATCCCAGGAGAGGTTAAGTGACTGGATCTCCACCCATAGTTCCTACTTGCTTTACAAGAATTACTTAACCCTCTTAACAACTGCAGGAGATAGTTGTTGAGTCCTGGCTTTAAAGTATAGACACCCCATGTGCACTTTGCTTTCCAGGACCTCAGTTTTCCCATCAGTTAAAGGAGCGAGTTGGGATAGAATCCCTTCCAAGCACCAACGTTAATCCTCCCCTTCCCTCCTGGACCGCAGTGTCCACTCTGAACACCAGGGGGCGCCTTCGGGCCGGCGGAGCCTGAGCTCACCCACTATCAGCGCCTTGGTGCGCAGCCCGCCCTGGAGTTCTGGCTGCAGCAGTAGCAGCTCCTCCTCATCTTCTTCGTCGTCGGGTTGGGCCACTGGGGGGCTGGGGGCACTGGGGGCCTCAGGCTCCGGGCCTAGCTCCTCCAGCACTGAACTCTCGGAGGGGTATTGGTACGTGGTCTCCAGTGCTGTCTCACTGAAGGAGATCTTGAGCTGAAGGTGGGAAGAAAATGGGGAGGAGGCAAGGTCAGACTGGAAAAGACTGCAGGGTAACACGTGCAGGATGGGGAGTAGGGGTTAGATTTGGGCACTTCGCTGACTCTGCCCTCCCCAGCCAATTCTGGAAGACAGTTTTCCTTTCAGTACCCACACTCCAATCTCAGATTTTCCCTCTTCAATCATATCATTTCAAAAACATTGACTTTGGCCTGAAGCTTTGGCAGGGGCCTGGGTGGCAGAAGTAACACAGGACCAAGGTTCCCACTCATTAGAGTGTGGGAGGCAGAAGGGCAAAAAGAAATTAAAAGACCTGGAGATAAGTCCTTTGATCAGAACTGAGTCTTTGGGCACCCTGGGAGCCACCAGGATGGCTACCCAGAGGAGGTGAGATTTGAGCTGGCTAGGCAGCAGAAAAGAGCTGGCTGGGGAGGGAGTCCCAGACAAAAGCAGACAGGCACCTTGGTTTCCATACCCTCAGCCCCTGGTTGTTCCAGGAAAATGGGGGACCCTGGACACCAGCCCCTCCCACTCCCCTCACTCCTCTCCTCCAGCTGGAGTAGACCCACAGTTCAGGCTCGTGGGTTTGGGAGGGGAGAAGAGACCAACAGAAAAGCCCAGAGGAAACGAGACTCTCCCCCAACACACAGGAGATGAGCCCCTGAGTCCCTGAAAGGTGCAGATGGGGGAGGTGACAGGGACAGAGAGGAAAGTCCAGGCAAACATGGGAGGTGGGTGGAGAGTGCACCAGAAGGGACATGTAGACAGAGGCAAACGACCAGAGAGGGATCTGGAAGGGAAGAAAATACTGTGTCAAGAGCAGGCGAGCCCCAGCTGTTCTCACTACCTTTTTACCCTTCCCCTTTGTCCTCCTAAGAAGCTCAGGGGGAAGGGGCAGGGTGAGATTAACTCTGGGAGCCAAAGCGATTAAGGAGACAAACAGGAGGATTCCATGTGAACTGCTCAGAAAGGTCCAGGTGATCTACTCAGGCCTTCTCTGGAGTCTGTCTGGGGAACTGGATACTGAAGCCCTGCATCCATGAGTCTCTGCATGGGCTGGGGTATGAGGAGAGAGAAGCCAGGACTGTGGCTGGACAGGTGGTTACTAACACCTGGGTCCCCATGGGAAGCCAGAACTCAGAGACTATGTGTCACTCCCTGGGGCCAAACCCTGCACTGGCCCCCATTTCACTGGGAGCAAAAGCCAGAGTCTGACCAAGGCCAACAGGGTGCTCCCAATGTGCCTCTCCCCCTCATCTTTTGGGCATCCTCTTGCACTCCAGCCACACTGAATGATTTCCTCCAGCCCCACCAAGGGCACTCCTACCTCTGGGCCTTTGCACTGGCTGTTCCCTCTGCCTGGGACACTCTTCCCCCAAATATCACAGGTCCCTCTCTGGATGATGCTATTATAAAGTTGGTATAGTTGCTCCTCCTACCTCCTGGCCCTCTAGGTTCCACTTATACCTGTTCTAA